GTGCAACCTTAAAACTAGTAAAACAGGAATGGATGTCAAGAATTGTATGAATTTTGGCAAAGCCGATGCGTTCATGGATGTCACTAATCAAGGGTAAAGGATGGCGATTATCGACAGTTAAGATTTGATTAAGAGAACGGACATCAAGTACAACTCGAGGTTTATCCATAGTATAGCGACCTTTATCATCCTTTTTTCGAACAACAAGGAGAGGATTATTGGAAGCTGTGTTAGCGGGAGCTTTGTCAATAACACCTTCTTTTAACCAAATGTCAATTTGATTAGCAATAGGTTCGCGATAATATTCAGGTAGATCATAAGGCTTACGATACGCAGTTAACCCAGGCTTAGTAGTCAAATAAATGATAGCACCAGGAAGGTCACAGTAAGTGTTCTTCATGTCAATACGAGAATTCAGCTGTAGCAAATCATTAATTATTTGAACCATAGGTAAGCGTTCTGCTGTAGACCCAAAAGGATCTTCATTAGGTTTAATAATGTCAGGATCGATAGGATCAGGGAGTTTAGGACCAGCAGTATCGAAATGAGTACTGATCAACCCAATGATGCCAATGTTCAACTTAGGTAAAAGATCTAAGCCGATCAATACAGGTACATCTTCAGCAACATGAAAGTCGAGGACTTCAAAAGGATGGTTTTTTAAAACTTTTTTATTATAAAAAACATTGAGTAAACATGAGCCAATTGATGTGGTTGTTACATTTCTAGATCCTAATTGAACACGACCACCTGAACTAGACAGTGGGCATTTTAGGAAGTCAAAGAAAGCAAGACTAATGCATGAGAAAGTAGCACCAGTGTCAACCAAAGCATATGTTACGATGTTCTCTATAACAAGAGGAACAATAAGTGAGTTAGACTTATTACTCGGAAAAGCAGAGAATTGCTCATGGTACTTACATTCTTGGGCTTGAGCACGCTCTTGCAAAGATTCATTATCAGATGCAGAAGCAGATTCAGAAGAATCTACTTCCATGGCATCCAAAGATAAACCAGTTTGCTTAACGCTGGTCCAAGCAGAAGAAGCACCGTGGTGAGATCGGGGGAAAGCAGGATCAGACATGGCACTCAAGATCATCTCGCGCGCTTTTAAATCCTTGGCTGGACCACCATTACCATAGCTCTGACGATGACTTGAAGAGCGTTTGGCATATTGGCAATTATGGCCTTCAAAGGAGCCAGGAGCACGACAGACGGAACAAGGTTGGCGACGTGGTTGCTGATTTTCCTGACGGGCCTGCTTCTTCAGGGCTTTGCAATCAGCCGTACTGTGTGTATCGACCTCATGGAAGGTACAATAGACACCTTGTTTTTTAATTTTAGCTCCATTAGCATACTTGCTAGCATTGGTACCGTTAGGAGAACGGACGACGGGAGAATGATCATAATGGTAACGTTCATTGGACGAGCTGAGACTCGAACGACCCTTAGATTTCTTGAACTTACGCTCATAGTCTTCCAGAGAAGAAGAAGAACGCTTGTCACCAGCTGAATTTCGAGTACTAGCGGAAGTAGCAAAATCAGTCGCATCCCATTGATTGAGTTGAATGGCTAACGTTTTAGCCGCAGCAAGAACGAAGTCGATATCCTTGCGTTGGCGTTCATTGGCCAAGTTGAGCGAAAAGGAGAGTCCTTGGAAAAACTGGGAATCCAAGCCACGGTTGAAGCTATTCAACAGCACAGATTTATCAGTGACACCTGATTTCTTACGAAGATTCTTGAAACGGTTGCAAAAATCTCGCATAGTTTCAGATGCGTGTTTTTTTAGATCCATCAATTCGGATGTCGCCTTGGTACGTTCAACCTCAGCAGCAGGACCAAACTCCTTCTTAAATTCGTCAACAAAAATAGACCAGGAAGATTCTTTGGAATGTTGTTTGACAAACGAACGAAGCCAGTCGCGCATTTCCTTGGTAAGGCATTTGCGGACAAGACGATACCAGTGATCTTCAAGGGGAAGTTGCCATGTATCCAGAATATCTTCAAATTTTTGAAGACAATCCTCAATATCCTCATAAACAAAAAGTTTATTGTCATAGACGCGAGCACTCCACTGAAAAAGAGGTAGATCATTAGGAACTACCGCCTTTTGAACAGCAGGCTTACTGTTAGTCGAAGACAAGGATATATCAGCAGACGATTGACCACTGACAGAAGACGTACTATTTCCTGAAGAAACAGAGGGAGAAGACGAACCAATGCTAGACAACAAAGCAATACACTTTGCATCCTGAGCCAAAATTGCTTCTAATTGCTCCATGTCCCTTAGGTTTTGTGCCAAACGATTACGGAGAGGTAACAGTTGTTCTTCCGGCAAGTTGCGTTTAGCAAGCAACTGCAAAGACAAGTTACGGTTTTCCATAACCATTTGATGTAGGCCTTCTTTGAGGGCTACTATCGAAGACGACTCAGCAGAGGGCAAGTTAACCATCCCAGTTGTGTCAGAAGGAATGAAAGCCTCAAAAGAAGCTTCACCTTCAACAACGGGAGTCGGATCAACTACCATGGAATCATCCTCATGTTGAATAGCAGCAGAACTGGATTCCTGAAATGACGGGGTAGCAGCAGTAGTAATGTTGACAGGTACAACATCCGGAAAGCTCGTAGACGTGATGACAACGTCAACAGAAGAGAAAGGTTCTCCAGTAGCAGCGCCAGAATGGTTATTATGACTATTATCAGACATTTCGGTAAGTGCAGATTGATAGTATTCTTGATATCGAATATTATAGAGTTTCTTGTTTCGATAAGGTCAAAAAAAAATGATATATCCAGTTACTTTAAAAGACTTATAAAAATAAAATAAAATAAGACAGTAAAATGACCAGACACAACAAAGATACTCTTTATTCAAGTTTGTTGAGAATGATACTTTTATATGAGAAACGGGGTTATTAACGGGTATTCAACTATTAATACAACTGAACTAAAACTATCATGAGAATGATAAGATCTTAGCCGCAAGCGGGTGTCAAAGTAGATGTGTATCAGATTGTCAAGCAGGTACTGAAGTCGTTCTGTAGTTTAAGACGTATAGTTGTATCTTGGATACAACAATGGTGTTGCGCATGTTCTGAACTTCGGAAGCATCAGAAGTCGTTGAACATTTTAGGTGCAACTGGTTGATTTGAGTCTTATACCGTGCGATCAAGACATCGTTTGAAATGATAGTCAAGTTATGACCATCCAACTCAGGGGCATTAATGTTAATGCTATTGTTTTTATGATGCGAATTAGTTTCATTGCCAACATCATTATATGCAAAATTATTTGCAGAAGTGGAAGGATGCATGCTTTCTGCATGTCCCATGGTTTTATGAACCGTCTGTTGGGACGATCCAACACCAGAAGCAGAAGGGGCAGAAAGAACAGCAGCGTCATGCATCTCTGTGTCTTCGGACAGAGAGCTGTCGTTACCAAAGAGGTCGGCAGGAGAAGGAGAAGAAGGTTCGTAGTTGCTTGCAGTAGACATTTTAGTTACAGTAAGGGTCTTCGTTAAAAAAATTGTGGTATTTGACGACTTGAGAGTTAAATATCACTTAGTGTTGTATCCAACAGCATATTACTCTTGGATTATTACATAATACTGAAATAAGAGATTGCGGATCCTTATGAAGGTTAGAATAACCGTGAGTGATAGATTTGTTAGAACAATTCTTTTCTTTTACGGAAGAATATTTCATCTGTATATCCGAGACAACATTGTATTAGTAATTGACTTCATTTAGAAGTAAGATATTATAGTATTTGGATTTGATTAAATCAGATAACTTCATTTAGCACATCAAACCACAATACATAAATCTAATCTATTTAAGCTATTATCTTCTAACTTGTTGATCCTTACTTTAACCCTTTACATTCTGACAGAATTCAATAAGACTGAAACGTAGACGTCGGCAGAATTAAGGAATAGTTTATCCTGTCCGTCACGTTAGTTATAATGAAACTGCTGAAGTACGGGTCAAAGGAACCTTTAGTTAGATCAACCCACTTACCCCCTGTCACCGATCCAATCGGTCAAGGCACCGCTATAGCATGATGAACCGTGCAGTAACAATTGGGTATGTCTTTCCTTTTATCATCAAGGCATCTTGTACCTAAGAGTCTCGATAGAAAAAGTTTTTTACAATATCCACAAATATAAATAGAAGTACTTTTTTCCTACATGGTTTTTGTCTTCATGCTTAATTGAATTCTTTATCAGAATATTCTACCTAATAAAAGAAGATAACTTGGTCTTCACTGATTTCCTTTTTGTTTTCTTTTCCTTTATACTTTTATCTGATCGTATACAACAATTATGGACCTTCAGCGACACGCGTCGCTCAAGGAATAACTCATGCAATAATGAACTTTTTTCAACTTTTTTGACCTTGTATTAAAGCTTGTTTTTTACTCTTTCTGATGGTATAAAAACCTTGAGTCATTCCCGTCACTTTGTCATAGGTGTTAACCATGCATTGCAATTGTTAACCATGCTCCAGCGACACGCGTCGCTCAAGGAATAACTCATCCAATATTGGACTTTTTTCAACTTTTTTAACTTTATATTAAAGCTTGTTTTTTACTCTTCCTGGTGGTATAAAAAACTTGAGTCATTCCCGTTATTTTGTCAGAGGTGTTAACCATGCTCCAGCGACACGCGTCGCTCAAGGAATAACTCATGCAATAATGAACTTTTTTCAACTTTTTTGACCTTGTATTAAAGCTTGTTTTTTACTCTTTCTGATGGTATAAAAACCTTGAGTCATTCCCGTCATTTTGGCAGAGGTGTTAACCACTCATTGCCATTGTTAACCATTTTGACAATGTGGATCTTGGGTGCAATGTGGCCTTGTCCGGCGCCGGACTTTTTGAAAAGTGGGGCGCAGCAGTTGGGGAATTTATGTGGCCTATTTGTGAAAACTTTTTTTCTTCTAGTCTTTCTCTTTCTCTTTTTCAATCTTCAATCCATCCATCCATCCATCCATCTATCCATCTATCCATCTAACCATCTATCTATTCAAGTAAGTTGCTGTAACTATTTACAAAGTATTTATCTACATGAATAAACGACCAACATATGTTAATTTGATAGAGAATTATAATTAAAATGGAAGCCAATACTAGGTAATGTATTATTTGTGGAGCAGTATACCGTATGAAGCCATTAGAATTTTGGAAGAATAACGAAATATTTGTTATACAGTGCATATAATCACGATGACAGCTGTGCTTTGTCAATCAACCTTCTTAAGATGAAGGTCGAGCGGGATGAAGGTCTCCTCCCAGAGAAGAAGAATGAAATTCTCAAGTCCTTGGACCAGTTGATGTCTGTTTCTGTGGGTAAGTCATCAATTAATGTTAGGATTAACTGTGAATTATATGGATGTATAATAACTTTCGAGTTATATTAGAAACTGCCAAATTTGTCGTGGCCAACTTGCACGGTTTGTTTACTAAAACAAATGAAGAAGCGGTTAGTGGTGAGCCAACTGTCTCTCAAGAAACAGATGTCGGTAGCGTTGCTTCAATAAAGAGACATGGACGACCTGGTAGGCGATCAGTAAAACGCGCAAAGACTGCAAGCCCTTCAATGGTTGCCAAATCCTATATGTCAAGTGGTTCACTCGCAGGTAGTACATACAGTGGTACTGTAGTTGTCCTTCGATTTCATTAGCTAATTAAGAGGATTCTTCTCTGTTAGCTGTAGCAACTGCCAAACATTCTGTAGCGGCTACAAAGGCTTTAATAATACAGCACTTGGAGCGATTATTGTCTGCTGATGGCTTCAACCCGAGAGCAGTCCAGCTGCATCAGCAACAGCAAGCATTATGTAGCCGCGTGTTGTATCGATGAAGAGATCACTGCTGAATATTACATAATAAAACCGAAGTACGCTTCGTTATTGATAGTTATAATTAAATGGCAGGTTACTTCACGTACATGATCTATTGGTACTTCAGTCTAGAATTTACATTGTTGATTGAGGTGACTTATCCAGTTTCTATTAGCCTCTATAACTATTACCTTATAGAGTGAGAGGTCTTTATTTGCTATTCCGCAGACATTATTCTATTCCAGACTCCACCTATTAAAGGTCGTAGAGGAGGTACACTAGATTCGGTGATCACTTTATTGTAAATTTATAATCTTCATTACGATTATGGTAACCATTGAATGCCCATGTCGATTATTGACGTGTTTGGTGAGATAATAACTACAATACTCGAGTACGTACAACCAGGTAGAGAATACATTCTACCACGGTCTATCTATATTGCATCTAATATAGGTTATGTACAACATAGAACAAGATATAGGCCTAAGTATAATAATCACCAATAAGCATCTGAACCTGAAATTAGTGACTAGCATACGCGTCCTCAAATAATATAATTCCCATTAAACCTCACAAAGTAAATAATCCTTCTACTTCATCTGAAGAATAATAAAGACACCTAAGTTCATAGTCATCGACTTACAACTGTTATCAATTTTTTAAATAAGCAAATACAACATTTTTTTCGATGAACACCGAACGTAACAACAACAACAACAACAACATTTTAAGTGAGGATCAAAGACCCAACTTTGTTGACGTTGCTTCTGGTCGCAGACCTTCACCAAAGTTGTTCTACATTGATCAACAACTGCGTGGGAGCGAAAATCCTTTGGACTTCGAACTCACGTTGGAAGAAGAGATTGAGAAAGATCTCATGGAAGATGTTGACATGGGTGATGCAGATAATGCAACTAGCCCTGTCGAAGAAAATGCTAAGCCTCAAAAAGAGGTTTTAGACGTTACTGTCAACATACAGAGTAACATATCAGTACTCAACAAAAAAATCATGCAACTGAATGAAAAATTGTGTGATGCTATAAATGATGCTGATATAAAAAGCACCAGCATGAAGCTGCAAATATTAACGCAGCAACGCAATGACTTGTTGCAACAATATAACATGTTGCAATCCGGGGGAGGCGCTAAGCCTACTGCCCATGCTGATCATCAGCAAGGTATACCAACCAATCTGATGAAAAAGTCAATTCCTGTGGGCGTTATACCGCACTTCAGAATTACCAGCATTGACGCCACCCTTGTCCATAATAACAAGAATGGTGACCCAAAGAAAAATGACAATGGAACATCATATCCATCATTAGAAGCATTTTTCAATACTTTTGAAAGTGTCTTCACTCATTTTATGACAGATGAGTCTATTGAACATAATTGGTTTAGTGCATTACGTATGTCATTCACAGCATGTCCTGATTTAGTTTTTAGTTGGTACAAGAAAAATATAGAAAAAAAGAAGGAGGAGCTCACTTGGACGCAAGTGAAGCGACTCATCACTGAAAGGTTTGATATACAGACAACCAACTTTCAAAAGGGATTACGGTTACTTCGTATATCACCAACATTTGATGAAGATTTCGTGGACTATGTTGACCGATTCACAAATCTTTTTGACGAGCTTACGGAAGTTAATGATAATAAGTTGGTTGTGATGTTATTCTTTAACAGTTTACCAAAGCAGTTTAGGAAAGTCATATATGACAAAATCAACATGATCACTGGCAACAAATCTGATGAAACAGATCCTTTTCCCGCAACCTGGAGAGAAACCGCAGTACTCTTCAACCAACATAAGGTGATGCTCAGCAATGAACTGAAAAAGGTTTATGTGTCTTTTGGTAACAAAGACAGCTACGCACAAGGTTTAAAAAGGGATAAGAAAGCGAAACCAACATCAGATAATGATGTGGCTAGCAGTGACAATAAGAAATATAATTCTTTGAGTCGTCATGATGCCATCAAACATCATGATAGAAAACGTAAGCATGCAGCTGATGATCATAATCCTCGGATGCAAAAGACTTTCAGGCATAGTCCTAATGGCAGTAATGCATCTCGCTGGGCGCCTCATAACAGGTTGTCTACGACCAATATTTGCCACTATTGCAACAAAGAGCCGTTCAGTTTGGCACACAGAAATAATTGTGCAGCATACATCAAGCTGCAGAACAGCAATTTCAAGACTCATACAAATGACAATCGTGGTAATAATCATAGGAATTATACTCCTTCATATGATAAACAAAATAGCGAATTAATCTACAGGAATACGACGTTGACATGATTGACATGGACCATCATCCTGTCAAATCATTCCATGAAGACGACATTGATGAATTCAAGGATGAATTGAATCGACTCAAAAACCAAAAATCTGATGATTGTAAGTACATAATAGCAGCTATAATGGATCATAAATCCTCAAAAGCCATTATGAAACAAAGCCCGTTGACACCTCTTTCACCCATCCTTATAGAAGGTCAAAGACTGATGGCTCTTCTGGATACTGGTTCGGATATATCAATCCTAAATAAAAGTCTTCTGAAGTCAAATAAAACATTTCAAAAACTTAAATTGAATGAGATTGAGGGCGATATTGTCTTTGCACAAAAGCACAATACTATTAAAAGATTAGGCCAAACCAATAAGCTTAATATTTCGTACAATGGCCATGTCTGTCAGCATGCCTTTGACGTATTTGAATTACATGATGATAGCATGGATGCCATAATTGGCAAAGATCTTATGCCACACATTGGCGTAACCTTAACAGGTGTGGCTGTTAATTGGGATGACAACAAGATTATCCATGATGATTCTATAGATGATCGTGAATACCAACCCAACATCTCTTATGCAGGCACTGAATTGCAACATAAAACTTTACTATCTGCATTGCAAAAGTATATTGATGAAAACCAGAAAATTGACAAGAATTCATTTTGTAATTTACCTGAAAGTGTGGTACATTTGTCTACACCTGAAGGTAAAGTAGCCTATAGGAAACAGTATCCTATTGCAGATACACTCATGTCCGTAGTGGATGACAATATAGAAAAATGGTTATCAGAAGGCACTATTGTGCAGTCTAACACACCAACAGGCTTTAACAACCCTTTAACTATCAGCAAGAAAAAAGATGCTCAAGGCAACCTCACCGCTCATCGTGTATGCCTTGATCCTCGAGAACTCAATAAAATTCTCATAGAGGAAGATAAATATCCACTTCCACTCATCAACGATATCTTTCATGATATGCAAGGTGCAACTGTATTCACTACACTTGATTTAAAAAGTGCCTTCAATCGTTTCAAGATCTATGAACCTGATCAACACAAAACTACATTCACACACAGAAATGTTCATTATCACCATGTTGGTGCACCATTTGGCATCAAAACACTCACTAGCAAATTCTCCCGTGTAATGGATATCATATTCAAGGATATGAAACAATTTACTCACCACTTTGTAGATGATGTCTGTATCTTTAGTCGTTCTGTTGAAGAGCACTTTAGTCACGTTAAGCAGGCCATTCAAGCTCTCACCCGGAGTAATCTTATACTCAATCCTGAAAAATGTCATATAGGCATGAAATCCGTATATCTTCTTGGTTTCTGTATTTCAGAACAAGGTCGATCTCTTGATCCCAGAAAGCTAAGCAATTTACATGAATACCCCAAGCCTACTACGGGCAAACAAATGCAACGATTCCTTGGTTTAATTAACTATTTCAGGGAACATTTACCTTTGGCTGCACACTTAACTGCACCATTGGATGGTTTACGCCATTTGGAAAGCTCTAAGCACATCACTTGGACTCCAAAACTAGATGCTCACTTCGATGCCATTAAAGCCATTCTGATGTCCAACATTGTACTTAAACCTGTTGACACAACCAAAACCATGCATGTAGTTACTGATGCTTCTAATTTTGGTATTGGTGCTGCGCTGTATCAAGAAGATGTTACTACTGATGCCAATGGCATCACGACTAAACGTATAGTCTACAATGGCTTCATGGCTCGTTCGCTCTCCACTTCAGAACGTAACTATCCGGTCACCAAGCGTGAATTGCTAGCGATCGTTTTTGCGTTGAAGAAGTTTCACAAATTTCTATGGGGCCGACGTTTCACTGTTCACACTGATCATCGCAGTTTGACATACTTATTCACACAGGATAACATCAATCCTATGATGATTAATTGGATGGGAACGATTCTCGATTATGATTTTGATGTCGTTTACGTTCCTGGCATACTGAACATTCTCAGCGACAAGCTCTCTCGAATTTTTCAGACTACCTTGGAACTGGAGGGGGGTGATGAGACATTTACAACTCACAATCTCGACAAAAAGCAAAGAGTAAGCAAGAACAAAGCAGTCAGAAAAGATGGAAAAGTAAAAGTCTTCTATGTTCAGAACCCGTCAAAATTCTCAGACAAAAATTATGTTACACCCGATGAAAAAGACAGACAGGATATTTTAGATGATGCTCACAAATTCGGGCATTTTGGTGCTGATCACATTGTCAAGCACATTCATAACCAAGATATGCATTGGCCTAACTTATTAGCAGATGCAGTAAAGTATGTTAGCCAATGTCCTACATGCCAAAAGTACAATGTACACAAAAAGGGATATAACCCTCAGAAGCCAGTGTATAGTTATATGCCTGGTGATTCATATGCCATGGATCTGGCTGGCCCATTTAAATCCAATCAAGGGCAATATACCTACCTACTCATTGTAGTAGACATTTGTACACGATTTGTTATACTGGAACCACTAGTTGATAAAACTGCCAAAGTGGTTGCTCAAGCTCTCATCAAGATCTTCTCTTTATTAGGATACCCACGTCATTTCACTATTTCTGACAATGGCACTGAATTCAAGAATGAATTAATCAACAGCATGTTCAAGCTTATGGCAATTGACAAGCGTTATATCACCGCTTATCATCCAGCTAGTAATTTAAGTGAAAGGTTTGTGCAAAGCACAAAAAAGGTATTAGCGAAAATAATGGAAGGAAACGGTGAAGATTGGCACTATTATGTCCCTTCAGTGCAACTGATGCTTAATAACAAAGTGTCCAAGAGATTGAACTCTACCCCATTCTCACTTATGTTTGCACGTAAGATGAATGACTTTATCCGCTAATAATAATGGTGAAACTACAGAAAAGTCATATATGACTCATGAAGAATTGATGGAAAGAATTGACTACATGTCTAGCATTATATTTCCAGCCATTGCTCAACGAACTAAACTGTATACTGACAAGCAGAAGAGCATTGCTGATGGTAAGCATAAAATAATAGACTACCCTGAAGGAGGACATGTTATGGTTAGGGTAAGAGACAGGTACAATAATTTGTCACCTGCATATCAAGGACCATACACTGTAGTCAGGAAAACACGAGGTGGATCATATGTGTTAAAAGATGAAGAAGGCATATTAATGTCTCGAAACTATTCACCTGAAGAACTAAAGTTAATATCACAAGAGGAAATCATACCTGCAGAAGAATTATATGTAATTGAAGCAATTATAGATCACCGTGGAGAACCAGGCAATAGGGAATATCTTGTGCGCTGGAAAAATTACACCAAGGATGATGACTCTTGGATTCCACCTGAAAACTTCACTGATCCTGAAGTAATCAACGAATACTGGAGACGATTGGGAATTAAACTCTCCCATGAAGATATGAATCAGGAAAAAGAACGATATACACCTCCAAAAAATTACAAGAAATCACAGATGCTTAAGAGAATTATGGATGCAGATGATCTTGAAAAAGACATGCACACAGTAAAAATGCGTACAGATTCCACATCAGGAAATGGAAAACGCAGGAGATGTAATAATAAGCACACCTCAACATCAGAGAGTCGTGTTATGCGTCGTAGCAAACGCAGTAAACTATAAAGTGATTAGATCATTGGGACATTCAAGTTGTACCTTTTTTCCCACTGGGTTTTTAACGGCATTCATCCCCATCAAGATGAACTTGAATGGATCTGGTTTGACTTTAAACTATAGTATGCACACTACTCAATTGATAACATACCATACATGTATGTCAAATCACTTCATTCACTGTCCTCAAATTAACGAATACAGGTTGATCATGGCAAGCTCACAGAAATGCGTCAAAATTGAATCAAATATTAGGCTTTGAGAGTGCACGCTCAATTCCTTATTATAACTTCTACAAACATTACGCAACTACAATCAAAATATGTATCCTCACCTCCACTTTTAACAGACGATGTTCCATCTGGAGGGGGGTAATGACGTGTTTGGTGAGATAATAACTACAATACTCGAGTACGTACAACCAGGTAGAGAATACATTCTACCACGGTCTATCTATATTGCATCTAATATAGGTTATGTACAACATAGAACAAGATATAGGCCTAAGTATAATAATCACCCAATAAGCATCTGAACCTGAAATTAGTGACTAGCATACGCGTCCTCAAATAATATAATTCCCATTAAACCTCACAAAGTAAATAATCCTTCTACTTCATCTGAAGAATAATAAAGACACCTAAGTTCATAGTCATCGACTTACAACTGTTATCAATTTTTTAAATAAGCAAATACAACACCATTACCTATGCTGGGACCGGTTGGATGTGCCAAATAATTGGTAACATGGACAAGACGCTCTACCAGGAGATCCTCAAAGACGAACAGGAGCAAACAATTGAGTTCGCATGCCAAAAATTGGGGTTCCGAAGGGATCAAATAGTCGGCTAATTGAAGGTATATCACCGGCAAAAATCCAATTGCCTAATTAGGCAATTGGGAGGTACTTAGAGAACTAATAGAATATACAAAGTAGGACTATGCACGTAGCGCAGTAGGTAGAGCGTTTGACGCACAACCTGAAGGTGTGGGTTCGACGCCTGGTGGCAACTTTTTTTTCATGTATCAATATGGTGCGTGCAGTCCTAATTTAGTTAGCAGCGTAGAAATTGTTTTTTTTTTATCACTTTTTTAATTGTTGAATTGACTTTGTGTTGCTTTTTTTGTGCAATACTATGTGATAATAGAAAGAACAGGCAATTTTTGTATGTTTTTACCTGGTTTATAGATAAAAACTAAATCATAATTGTGATTAAATTTATCTCCTTACCAATATCTTATTTTGGTTTGATGTAAAGCATGTTTCTTTTATAAGGTCATAATTTATTAAATTTTTTGGAATTCAATAAGTTGAACGATAGTATACATGTATTCAATAGTCAAATATCAAATTTCTTCGAGATCATCAAGATTATCGACGTCATCCAAATCAATAAAACTATTGCTATCATCCGGATTACTTGACGTATATGTAAAATCCGTCAAAAATGCTGGATTCCTGCTAGCTCTATCGAAAGAAATTTCTTTCAATCACTTCATTATACCGTTGAATATATCTCCATAATGCTTTCTACGCCAAATAAACTCAATTAACGCCCAGGGAACCAATTGCTTTGTTCGCAGACGTGCAGGAATGTTACATTTGATGCCACACCAGGTACCTTAATGATAATGATACAGAAAAGAATAATTAATGCTGAAACTTACATACTCTAATAATATTTGCTTTTTTTTTAAAAAGTATTATGTTAGTACCTTCAATGGTATTCGTATGGACAGTTCCGTTGACAAACTGTATGCTGTGGTTAACGGTACTATGTAAATAATCACCAGTTTCCATAATTGAATTATATGCTGCCCAACAGTCAGTATAAATATGCGATCCAGGCAGAACATATCTTGCAATCACAGCTTCAATGGTTTGTCTATTACGATTCTTGACAACGACCATAAAACAACGCCTTTCTGGAGTTTTCTCAACGCCTCCGATTACCCAAACACCCTCAACACGATGTCCACGGTGGTATTTCCTCTTTCCAAACTTGGATTCATCGATCTCAACAATAATAGGCTCGCCATTCGACTTAACACTACCAATGCGACAGTTTTCTGCCGTAATGTCTTCCTGCAAAACTTGGTACCAGTCATTTATCGTTTCCCGTATAGCCTGGAAAGAGCAACCGACTAGCCCAACCATAGTTGACTTCTTGGCTTTATGTGACCAAAGATGTAAGATATGCATAACATCACTTAAATCCATCTTTTTATTGAAAAAGAAAGAGCCATGACGAATTGTTAAAGTTGTTCCTGCACAACACTTCTGTCCACCTCTATTAGACACAACGCCATTACAACGCCATCTGTATGGAAGGTCGTTTAAGTACTCAAGGTACATACGATTTCCAGAATTCTCGCCGCAACGAATCTCTGCTTCAGGACCATAAAATATCCCTGTATTGAAAAGGTATCTATATGTGTAAACACACAGAGAGTTGAAAACATTACTGTGTATACTGTATCTCTTATCCTATAATATAATTTTTAAAAAAAAACCAATTGTACCTTATACATTTGTCCTCAGTACCAAATATTTGCCAAAACTGTCTCGTTGTTAAGTTATCAACAACTATAACACGGCTCCACATCGGTACAATGTTTTCTTCATCTATACTATCGTTGGATCCTGTATTTTCCAAGTTTGCTTCGTCGTCAATGTCACTACTTAAACCCTCCAGCTCTTCATTCTCATCCCCAGAAAGGTGTGTGCTGGTGTTTCTTCCATTTCGCTCCTCATTACCAACCTCATTGACCTCATCGTCACTAATGACGATCACTTCATTGACATCTTCCAAAGCGATGGCAGACTGGCTATTTGTAATCTGTCGACGTCTTTGACGATGTATTCTTCCTGCTTGGGAAAAATCCGCTGGTGTTAAAGCTGAATCTCTCCTGATCGCAACAGATTTGTAAGGAATCTCCACTCGATTACTGACATCGTTAAGTGCAGATCTCGCCGCAGATCTGCCAGGGCGTTGACGGTCGACACCACGGCGATGTTCGAAGTTTTCTTGTTGTAAATTGATAAAGTCAGACATTTTAGACAAGCTTTAAAAAAGTAGTTAAAGTAAAATACAAAAAGACTTGAAAGAAAAAACAAAAAAAAAGACAGGGGATCATAAAATCAAACAATAAAAAGTGCGCCCAAGGGGATTCGATCCCCTGACCTGCAGTATGAGAAGCTCGCGCTCTACCGCTTGCGCTATAAACGCTGTGCTAAAAAACATATTTTTACCAAATAATATATGAGCACCGAAATTGTACCAATTTCCTTATTAGGCAGTTGGATTTTTGCCGGTGATATACCTTCAGAGCTCCAAATAGTCTTTCAGCAAGATAACGATCCGAAGCACACTAGTAATTTGGTCAAGGATTACCTTAAAAACCAGGATTATAAGGTAATCGATTGGCCACCACAGTCACCAGACCTCAACCCAATTGAAAATATGTGGCGGTTGTTGAAAATCCGCCTCAATGAGTACGAAACGTCACCAAAAGGTATGCAAGAGCTATACGAACGTGTAAGTGACGTTTGGTATAAGGTAATCGATATCAAGGAATGCCAAAAGGTAATTGATTCAATGCCACAACGTATTGAGGCTTGCATTAAGGCCAAAGGTTATTGGACGAAGTATTAAAACGGAGATAAAGAGCTATTTTGGATTTCTGATCGATGCATGCAAAACTGTTCCAATAAACATCTTAATTTTAACGCATGAAAGCCTACTAAATTAAAAAAAATTTTCACCAATTTTTTATTTGTACTTTTTAAGCGTGACTTTCTCTCTCTAATGGTTATAATTTCAAGTTGTTCCGATGACTTTACATTGAGTTATGAAGGAAAACGTAAAAATGGCAAAAACATTGGAACAGTTTTGCTGGTCACTGTATAACATATACAACAGTGTATAATAAAAGGACTAAAGGAGACTCATTTCACCTTACAGTTATATCAAAGTTATAAGTCGCGTTCACTACACATAAAACAACTACAAATATCACATACACTGATACCTGCGACCCTAATGTGCCTCCGAAGCCTGAAAAATGACACAAGCGGTTATACACCCGCTACGATACTATATGGGCAAGACTTAATGACGCCCAGTGTATGGCCTGCTCCCCGTTATGATTTCGTTGAAGGTGAATATGATAAGTACATATCGGAAAGAATTGAAATGATGAACACAAAGTTGAAAGAATTAAGAACGCAAGCCCGGTTAATTTCCAATGAGAAGAAGAAAGATATGAAGAAAAGATATGACTATAAAGTACATAATAGAAAACTATTCACAATCGGCGAACACGTGTTGTTATATGATCATTATAAAGAGACCAAATTTTCTGATGTCTGGATTGGCCCCATGACGGTCTGCAAAGTCAATAAAAACGGAACATATCATCTGCTAGGACCGAACTGTAAAAGACTGGATGGAGCGGTGAACGGAGACTATCTCATCTCTTACCAACGACATAATCGAATGACTCCCGATGTAGACATGGCGAAGAACGGTTTGTTGTATAGACCTTGGTTAGAAAGAAAATCATTTTGACAATTAGAAGGCGAATTCTGTGGTGGGGGCATGATGCGTGGCGTTAAACATTGTAAGAATTCGCCTTCCGAATTAATAAGTTCGACCCGGAGTAACCCAGCAGTCCGGCACAAAATCACGTATACTATTGAAGACAAACCTTTAATACCGACTCTAAATGTTACTTACATAACTACATACATCAATATACATATTAATTTTAGTATAAATCCTATTCATAACTTGATATTAGGAACTCTCTCTTCTTTAGGGTATTCATATTTTACTATAAACATTTTATTTTGATTATTGGAATTTTGTTAATTTCAAGTTTTATTTTATATTTCAGGATTTAGATTTGTTTACTTCGTTTTCATTAGTTTATATTTTGTTTATTTTTATTGATTCTTTTAGTATTGATCTACATTTTTATACGATCAATCATTTATAGCTAGTATATTCATAATATAAGAAGAACAAACCAGTTAAATTTCCTATATTCATTTTTCGATAGAAATATATTTTGTTTACTTGCTCTCAAATTATAAAAATTTACCATTATATACATTCACACATATAACATTTACAAAACTTAATAAATTAATACGTTCGCGGTGTCTTCTCGTGAAAGAGTTGATGTAAACCAAAAAAAAATATAAAGGCAACCGAAATATGAATCTTTACTAAATGAATAAAATA